AGAAATGTAGCCAAACCTTTTAGGCCACAACATGGAAGATTTTTTTTCTTGGATAGAGGTTTTTTTGAAAACAACAGTTTCAACGGAATATGAGGTGGCATAAATTTGATCATATGGAACAAGACACAATCTATATAAACCACGAGACAGTGTGCATTGGCTAATTATTTAAATCATAAAATATTTGGATTGAAACATTATTTATATTAAAGCATAGCCAAGTTTGTTCAATAAGGAATCTGAAATAAGGTTCTTGTTGTGCGTCGCGAAACAAACACAAACGCCGAGAGAAAAGACAACTCAAATTAAACAATAACGGCACAAACTCAAATATAAAAGTTGTTTGTGGGAAAATTTGTAGTAAAAAGAAATGAAGGAAAATTGATTTGTATTCCTTTAATCTCAGTTACAATTGGATTTCCTGATTACAAAAGAGAGGAGAATGATCTGGATTCTTCCCTTTGTTTAATTCTGGGTTCTTCACGGTGGCGATGAGATGCCTCCCTCGAATGCTCGCGTCGAGTTTGCTTCTCGTTGACGATCCGACGTCTTGCTTCACTGGAACGTGGTCTTCTCCTCACGATTTGACGTTGTGGAGAATTCTGAATGAGTTTGAAACTCTATGAAAGAGTTAATTTAACCGAAAGTCGGTTATAAGCCAAGGATGAAGAAGATCTTGTTGCTGATCTCCAAAGCTCCAACCGAAAGATGAAGGATCCTCTTTTTGCTGCCAAGAAGTTCCAACAGACCGTACCCGAAAGATCCAGCCCGAGATCTCTTCTTTACTGCCCACGAGAAGGATCTAAAAGACCGACCCTGAACTGAATTGATTTTCAGTTATTTATAGGGGATTAAGGGGTGTAACCACCTCCTTAATTCGCTCCTAAGTGGGGCTAATGTGATATAACCGCCCCTTAAATCACTCCTGAGTGGAGTTGTGATCCCCTCAGATCGTGGGAAACAGTTTTGAAACTGTTCAGCTCGTGTTTGGACGAGTCAAATGCAAAATCCGCGTTCTGGCGTGAATTCTGCGTTCAAACGCACCGTCTGGAAGCTCGGACGCAGTATTTTGGAAGCTACATTGGCATCTTGTTGGAAGCTGCGTTTGGCGGCGATTAGAGCTGCGTTTGGTAGCGATTTGAGCTGCGTTTGGTAGCGATTTGAGCTGCGTTGGGCAGCGGTTGGGAGCTGCGTTGGACAGCGATTAGAGCTGCGTTCAGCTGCTGATTTGAGCTGCGTTCAGCGGCTGATTTGAGCTGCGTTCAGCGGTTGAAGCTGCGTTCAGCTGTTGATTTGAGCTGTGTTCGTGGCTATGAACATGGTGCATCTTGATGCTGGTACGCGGGGAGGACTTCAACGTCTTGGTTTGAAGAGACCGTCGATTTGTAGTCTCTTTCTGTCAGAACGTTGCAAAGATCGTCGTTTTGTAATCTTTGCTTTAGCTCTTTGATATGTGAGAGTCGTCAGATTGTAACTCTCGATGTTGATTGTGAAGGCTGTTGATTAGAGCTTCCATCAGTTGTCGTGAAGGTCGTCAGATTGTAACCTTTAGCGATCTACGTGAAAGTCTTCAAATTGTGACCTTCTGAAAGTCGTCAGATTGTAACTTCCATCATCGGTGTTTGATGGGGATCAGCTATCTATTGTGATTTTTAGACAGCCTACAAAAGTTTAACGAGATTTGGCAAATTGCCTACGTCCACGGGACAAGAAGGGATGAGTTTCCACTATAGAGAAAAGAGTGTACAAAGTAGATATTACAAGATCACTCAACTAACCTCTCAAACAAATCTCTCAAATCTCACAAACTAAACCCTCAAACAATTAATCAGAAATATTTCTCTTTTCTGTACTCAAAAATCACCTTCAAGCTATCCCAAAATCCAATTCTGGCAATTGGAACAATAGAAAACCCTAAACAAAATGTATTTCTATTTATATCAAATAGAAAACCCAATCAGAACAGGAAACCAAGCCTAGGTCTAAAACCGCATCACAATCGACCGCCGCAACAGACGTGGTCGACCGTGAAAACGACAGAAACCAAAATTGCACTACAGGGTCTTGCGGTCGACCGTCGCGCCACTCGGGTTGACCGTAAAAAGTGCAGAGACTTTTTCAGACTGCGTGCACATTCGCGGTCAACCGTAGCTCCACTCACAGTCGACCGTGCATCATCCAAAACGTTTTCTGCTTCAATTTTTCTGAGCTTCGTCGCCTTCGCCTCCAATTCTACAATTCTCCAATTCTCCACCTCGATGAAGTTTTCCCAAAAACTGAGCCGACACCAACCAAATCAAATGTCTCACTTGTTGCGTCCAGTACTAAGTAAAACAAAATCACGATAACGGATTCCATCCACAACAAGTCAAGACCCAAATGAGAATGTGAACAAACTCTCCAAGCGTTAGTATCTACCCATCAAATCGGCTGCATCAAAATTGATTGCCTATGTATCCTCTTGCCAAAGGAATCAAGCCTTCACGTAGTTCCCCAAATGACTTCCAAAGGCCCTCAATCAAATAGAAAAGTTCTAAACTCTTCACCAACAAATATGCGGTTAATAGCTCTCCAGATGGCCCCAAAGTAAAACAAATCAAACACCTCTACCTGATATGAACCAATGGCCGTATCCAAATTATATCCACCAGTTGTATTCGAATCAACCAACTCATCATCTACACCTAAATCCAAATGATCTCCTAATTGTGTCACCTCAGCTAGAATCTCAAACGATGTCGTATGATCTGGAGTATATGGAGTTATCTCCACCCAATATGGAGTGGCATCACTCTCCATCCACTGCGATACAACTAAGGTCTGTCCAAAACTCTCCACCTGATGAGAGTCAATTAGCTCCATCATTGAAGCCTCAACCAAAGTGACACTACTAGACTAAACATCCAATGGAGTTTTACCTCCAATCGTAATAGTCGACAACCTATGTCCAAGATGACCCAAATATGTCGAAGCCTCAACACCAGAATAAATGCTCGACATCAAACGCCGGTCCTCCTCTAGCAAGGAACAACTTACCAAATCTGCCATCTCATCTCATTGTCCTAAGATTTTCTTTCCACCGAAGTGTCCTAAAATGCCGTGAGCTCGGCTCAAATGCAGAAACATGTCCCTCTTGTACCTCCCACTAAAATCAGAATAAAGTACATTCACCTTTCTGCCAATCTCACACTCCTTCAATCTGTTGGAGACTACTAGAGCTTTATCCAAAGGGGATTTGGTTGCAACCCAAACACGTCTAGAATAGCCACCAACAAAGGAAACCAAACATCTATTTTCTCCCAACGATGCCTCTTTGGAAGGCCCCCAAATATCCGTGTGAACTTCACCTAAAAGACCCTCCGTACGGTGAATAGAGGTGCCAAACTTCACCTTGGTCTTCTTGCTCACATCAAAGTGTTCACTGGACTTCAAATTGTAGGTCTGTGCACCCATCTCCAAATCAATACTGGAATGACAAAGCCTCACATGTCACAGTCTAGTCGAATCAACAGAAGTCGCCAGCCCTCCACCTGTCACCGAACTTCCAATCAAATAGTACAGGTTATTCCTTCTGATGCCCTTATCACAATCAAAGAGTCTTTCACGATCTCAAGAACCATGTCCTCAACATGAACCTTCAGATCCTCTCCAACCAAAGCTCCAATTAAAATCAAGTTCTTCCTCAAGAAAGGAACATATCTCACACCATATAACTCTCTAACAGTCTCGTCAAACATCTTGATACGAATTCTTCCTATCCTAAGGATCTGACATGTACAGTTGTCTTCCATGTATATAACACATCTATCCAGCTTCTCAAAACTGGAGAACTACTCTCTTCTAGGGCACACATGACAGGTCGTACCACTATCCAACATCCACTCGGATTCCTCCGAATGGCTACCTATAGGACTAATAGAAAGCGAATAAATATAAGTATCAGAAATATTACCATCCAATATAAAGATGTTTGCTTTTGATGATGGTTGCTTCTATTTTTCCTTCTGCTTATTCTTCATCCATCGTCGAGCTTTGGACAATCTTTCTTCCAATGACCAGTCTCCTTGCACCAAGAACACTGATCTTTTCCAACTATAGGATGCCCTACTCTAGACTGTAACTTCTAATTCTTCTGGTTTGGATTCTTCCCTCTTGTGACCAATGTCTCCGCTATTATCTCAATTGAAGTTTTCTTATCCTTCTTTCGAAGCTGATAATTCACAAGTGTAGCGGTGACCTCACTATACGAAAGGGATACCTTCCCATTAACTA